AAATCTTTTTACTTCAATGCTTCTATATATCTGTCTTATTTACCCATTTATAAAATTTCATCCAGTTTTTTCCAAACTGTCTGTTTTATCCTTTAAATAAAATGTGAGGTTATCAATTTCCACTGCTCCCAATATTTTTGTTACAACTTCAGTTCTGTTTGGTACCCCTGTTTTCCTCCAACAACTGGCATATGCAATCCTTGCTGGAATAATTATATTAATTACAGAATATAAATCATTCTTTTGGATTTCTTTGGGTGGAATAGTTAACAAAAATAATTCTGGGGTAAAGGGGATAGAAATTTCTAGGCTTTTCTGTATTATTTCATGTATATCAATCCAGTAATTCTTCGCTTTCCAGCATTTCCACCACATGTGAAAAAACGTTCCAGTTGCCTTTTGGCATTTCCAACAATGATTAGTACAATTAATATCTATCTTAGAAAGAAACATAGGAGTTATATACCATCTGTGAAAAAGCTTATAAATATTTAATTTATAAGGAATCAATCTAGTCATGTTTATACTTTTCTTCCATATCCAAGACCATTGTTCCAGGTCAATAGAGTGCCCTAAATTCTGGGCCCATTTTATCATCACTGGTTTAACCTGTTCCTCATGCATACATTTTTAAAAAATAAATTTCTGATTTGTAAACATCACTATCTTGTTAAACTCTGTATATTTTTCATAGAAACCTAATCACTTATCTTTTTTAAAGCAGGATAGAATTTGCCAATTTTGCCACCAATTATATTGTAATGGGTTTTTCAATTCTTGTCTGGTGTCTATTAACTCATTATATCTAATTTGATCTTCTTTACGGATCACATTCGGATGAGTCACAGCTTCTAAAGGTACTACCCATCTTGGTGTTTTCATATAGGTTTGCTTCCTTAATCTGGTCCCATACTTTTAATAGTGAGCCTCTCAACCAATGATTCTGAAAGTATCTCTGTGATCCCGCCTTTCCATACCAGGAAAACGCATGCCACCCTAAAGGCAAGTCATGTGCTTCTAATTTTAAAATTCTGTTGTTTTCCAGAAGAACCCACTCCTTAATCCACACTAAAGTGGAAGCCTTTTAATAAAGCTGCCAATCAGGAAGACCAAAACCTCCTCTACTCTTTTTATCCTGTAATGTCTTGAGTTTAATCCTGGATCTTTTCCCTTGCCATATAAAGTTTAAAATTATTTTGTCTAATTCTTTACAAAAAATAGTGCTTTTCAAGATTGGGATTGTTTGGAACAGAAACAAAACTTTTGGGAGTACCATCATTTTCACCACCGCAATTCTTCCCATTAGGGATAATTGCAGATTTTTCCATATTTGTAAATCCTTCTTTATATCTTTAAGCATTAAATCATAATTATTAACCTCTAGAGAACTACATTTATTCGTTAAGTTTATCCCCAAGTACTTAATCTTTGTGTTCACTTCTATTCCTGTTATTGTTTGTAAATCGTCCTCTTGGGTTTTATTCATATTTTTAGTTAACATTTTGGTCTTTTTAAAACTGATCTTAAAACCTGACACTTCACCATATTTTTGTATTAACAAGATTAAATTTGATATTGAATAAGAGGGGTCTTCAAGAATAAAGGCCAGATCATCGGCAAAAGCTAAACATTTATATTCTTGTCCCTTTAATCTTAAACCCCTAATATTTTCATCTATTCTAATTTGGTCATTTAAGACCTCAAGCGTCAAAATAAAAAGAAGGGGTGAGAGTGGGCAACCCTGTCTGGTATCTTTGTATATTGGAATAGGATCTGTTAGGTTTCCATTCACTATTACTCTGGCCATCTATTCCCTATAGATAGTAGCGACCATCTTATAAAAGTTTTCACCCGCCTGCAATATCTGTAATAGCTCTAATAAAAAATTCCAATCAACATTATCAAAGGCTTTTTCCGCGTCAAGCAGAATCAATGCTAAGAAAAATGTATGGAGTTAAAGACAAGAAGAGTTTTTGTATCATCACACTCATTCTTTTGTTTTGTATGTTTTTTGTGGTTTGGAAAATTGAATATATATATATTCAATTTATATATATATATATATTCACTTGTGCCATGGAAGCTAGCTGGGTGACCATGGCCCAGTCACCTTATTCTCAACCTAGCTCTGACCTGGATAGCCCCAGGATAGCCTGATCTTGTCAGATCTCAGAAGTTAAGCTGGGCCAATGTGGAGGCAGGCAATGGCAAACCACCTCTGAACGTCTCTTGCCTTGAAATCCCTACAGGTCACCATATGTCAGATGTGACTTGACAGCAAAAAATAAAAATAAAAAGAATTCCATCACATCACTCGTGTTCTGAGCAGGCACTTGGGAGGACTTCAGTTCTTCATTTTGAGGCCCAATAGCTGACCAATCCAAACATCTACAAGGCATTTGTGATAGCTAGGAGTCTGCCTTTGTACTATCATTTACCAACTAATAGGGATGTGTATTAACAGGCTCACAAGCCAAAATTTGGCATGAAATTGGGCTGGTTCAGAGGTCAGAAGCCATTGTTCAGGAAAGGTGCCTTCCCCAAAATTTTACCAGACTTTTGGCTATTTTGGTTTGGCTGTTCAGGGCCAGCCATTTAAACCTAACAGGAGAGTCAGGAATTTATTGGACTTTTCATTCTTAGCAGAGTTGGACTTCCAACAGACATCTGGGTAATAGGGTGCTGCAACACCCTAACTACTGCTTTGCAAGATCTGGCTGAGCTGGGTGCAAGGAAAGGAAGAAAGGCTAGACTAGTGAAGAAAATGACCTGCAAGTTGGCAATTATTGTAGCAGTTATCAGCATGCTGGTTTGGTTGTACAAACTGTTAAGCAAGTTTGCTTCAGTCTTGGAGAAAGGGAAATCTAGCTGATCCTAGAGTGTTTTTTGCTATGCTCAAATTTTCCTGTGCCTGCAGCCAGAACTGCATTTTAAAAATAAAAGGAAAGACTTTTGGCTGAATGCACCATGATGTGGACTTCAAGGGCCTTCCTCAAGCTGCACCCAGGGCAGAATGCATCCCCCACCCTGCCCTCATTATGCCTCTGTGGGAGGTATAACAACATTGCCAGAAGTCAAAAATTCTTTACCTCTGGGAAGTAACCTGGATGAAATGCGAAGGAAGATGCTGTCAACAAAATGAACTCAAAATACTAATGAAACCATAAGGGTCTTGGGAATGAAGCAGTGGCCATATTTAAGAATTGTTATTTTGATGGCCAGAAGGCCCCTTCTGCCTATACTTTTTTCCATTGGCAATGGATTCTTTGTTAAATTGCAAAGTGAACGACACTGTTTTATTTGTATCTGCAAATAATGAAGCTATTATTGATTCTTAATATGCTATGTCCTATAACATTGATGTGTGCCTTGTTTACAGCTTTGATGTGGAAAATGGTCCATCACCAGGTCGCAGCCCACTGGACCCTCAAGCCAGCTCCTCTTCAGGACTTGTGCTCCATACCACTTTCCCAGGACACAGCCAGCGTCGAGAGTCATTTCTTTATCGATCAGACAGTGACTATGACCTGTCACCAAAGACCATGTCCAGGAATTCCTCCCTTCCAAGTGAACAGTAAGTACATACATTACATAGTGCCTGCACTATTGTAGATCTTACGCTGCACGACACATATCAATAAATTGATATTGAACAAGAAACTGTGATTGATACTAATAAATTGCTATTTATTGCTAGGGATGAAGTCACCATTTAGGTCATAGGGAACATTCTCAGAGGGCTGAAGTTATGGGAGAAGCAGCAGCATGCTGATTTCTCTATTGCTTGTTGCAGCCCAGCAGGACCTGCTCTTCTTTGACCAGGGCTGTGGTGACACATATAGCTCATGGGCTCTTGCTCTTCAGCTTGCAACCAAGGGCCTCTAGCCGTGCCTAGCCTTTATACCTTCAGGCAGGAAGGGAAAAGAAAAAACACAGCTGAGATACTGTGCAGCTGTCAAGAAGTTCTGCAACAAAAGTTCCCCTTTTTATGGAATGGCGTGCTTTCTCTCTTCACTCATATGTTGCATTTCATTTATCCATGTTTCAATGGATAAAAATGAAAGAGGACCTGGATATTTGAAGAAAGCCAACAGCAGCCCATCTAGTGAAAAAATTGAGAGGGAAACATATGCAACTACAAATGCAAGGGAAACAAGACAAAAAGCCTGTTTGGGTCAGGCATAATTCCTCATAATTCTATGCCCTTTGACATGGTAGATGCTGGCCTTCAACTTCAGGATGCATTTTCCCATTTTGACTTTCCGGTCCAATCCTGTTGGACAGTCCCGGAGGCGCCCTCTAGTGTGTGGGGTGCCTCAGGGGGCTGTTCTCTCCCCGTTATTATTTAACATCTATATGCGCCCCCTTGCCCAGATTGCCCAGAGGTATGGGCTTGGGTGTCATCAATATGCAGATGACACCCAGCTCTATCTGATGTTGGGCGGCCGGTCAAGCTCTGTCCCTAAAGATCTGAACCGGGCATTACAGGCCGTGGCTGGTTGGCTCTGGCTGAGCAGGCGGAAGTTAAACCCGGCGAAGACGGAGGTCCTGGGCTTGAGTCGCGGTGGCCTGGGGTTAGGGCTCCCGACCTTCGATGGGGTGCCTCTGGTGCCGGCGCCGGAGGTTAGGAGTTTGGGAGTGCTCCTGGACTCCTCGTTAACCATGGAGGCCCAGGTGGCAGCCACTGCCAAGTCAGCCTTTTACCATCTGCGGCTGGTGCGGCAGTTGGTCCACTTCCTCGACCGCAGCGACCTGGCCACAGTGATCCATGCGACGGTCACCTCGAGGCTAGACTACTGTAACGCTCTCTACATGGGGCTGCCTTTGCTGCAAATCCGGAAGCTGCAGCTAGTGCAGAATGCTGCGGCCAGGTTGTTGATGGGTCTTCCTAGAAGGGACCATATCCAGCCTGTGCTGAAAGCGCTGCACTGGCTGCCTATAGTGTACCGGATTCGTTTCAAAGTGCTGGTTCTTACCTTTAAAGCCCTACATGGTCTGGGTCCAGCTTACCTAAGGGACCGCCTTTCCCCATATGTTCCCCAGCGAGCACTTCGGTCCGGGACGCAACATCTCCTGGCAATGCCAGGCCCTAAAGAGGCCAGGCTGACCGCTACCAGGGCCAGGGCTTTCTCGGTGGCGGCTCCTACCTGGTGGAATGAGCTCCCAGAGGAGATCCGGGCCCTGCGGGACCTTGTACAGTTCCGCAGGGCCTGTAAGATGGAGCTCTTCCACCAGGCATATGAGTAGGGGCTGCCACTACCATCATTACCACCATGTTCCATCTTACCCTGGCCCTGGATGAGGGAACGTCAGCGTCCCTGGAGCAGAACTGCTGAACAGTGTGAAGTACGCCATCTGTGAACATCGAGAGCACTTTAGTTAGTTAGTTAATAACTTATTAAGATTGTTTTGTATTATATGGATTTTAAATGGTTTTAAATATGTTTTTATTGGCGTATGCCCTTATGTAAGCCGCCCTGAGCCTGCATTGCGGGGAGGGCGGGGTATAAATTGAATTAAATAAATAAATAAATTATTCCAGGGAAAACCAGAAGTGATGCCACATCACTCTAGGAACCCCTGGAAACACTATGGTAAAACCCCACTTCCCCAGAACACGTGAAACTGCCTTGTATTGAATCAGACCCTTGGTCCATCAAAGTCAGTATTGTCTATTCAGACCACAGCAGCTTTCCAGGGTCTCAGGCAGAGGTCTTTCACATCCCCTACTGCCAGATGGAGATGTTGGGAATTGAACCTGGGACCTTCTACGTGCCAGGCAAATGCTCTGCCACTGAGCCACAGCTCCTATAAGTGATGTCATGTCACACATGATGCCAGCAATCTCTCCTATTGTCCAAAGGAGCGGTGGCAGAAGCATGGGTTGTCAGTAGGAGGCCTCCTGCCACTGTAGAGACCTGGTAACCCTGACAGTCATTGATCACATATCTTTTTCTGCTTTTTTTTTCTTTTGTCCTTCTCTTGTTTTTCTGTTTATCACTGTAAATCTGAGACCAGTACATGTGTCTTTATTTTGATCTATGTTTCATACCTAGTTAAGGAAAGGCAGTTGGTAAATAATAAATCACATTTGTTCCATATGCTAGTAAATGTAAGTATACAATTAATGTTGGACCAACTGAAGTTTCCCAACAGTCTTCACAGGCAGCCCCATGTATCGTGTGTTACAGTAATCAAATTTGGTTGTGATCAGAGCATTGGATCACCATGGCCAGATTGTGGCCATTATAGTATCCCTTTATTTCAACTAGTAATTTGTTTTAAAACCATCTCAGTGTGGTTTTTTTCTGGAATAATTTGTGCCCAAAGAACTGGACCCACAATACTTGCTAATAGTGTAAAACTGTAACATGAGAAATACTTGTTTGTGTGTGTGTGTGTGTGTGTGTGTGTGTGTGTGCACGTGCATGCACACAAAGCAGATGGATGGCAATGGCTCTTTGCTGCTGGGATTCACAGCATATCTGTGTCTATGTCTATGATCAGTCACAAGTGTAACTCCCAGTATTATGAATTTACTTGTTACTATTTTATGCCAGAGATGTTTTATTACTGTTAACTTATACGAAAGTAGATATGCTGACTGACACATCCCCTCCAAGCTTATGTATTCCTGTGAACTACTTCTGATCAATAATGCTGCATACATATAAAAAATATATATATTTAATGAAAGCCTCAAAGATTTTAACCAGCTTTGTGTTATGCAGGGTATCTAATCTTTCATGCTGAAAATTCACAGGCATAATTCTACATTTAAGAAGCATTAAAGTCATGGATGCAACAAAAGTCACAAAATACAAATCTGACTTTTCCTCAGACAGTTGCACATTTCCCCCCCTAGTAGAGTACTAGCCTACCTTTGAATTTCCTGGCTTTTATTGCCTTATGGTACTAGAATTGAATGGTGTCTCCTGCTTGGATTTTTAAAAAATGTTTTCTCAATATACTCTTTGATTAGGGAACCATTCGACTTAGTAAGAGCCTTTGAGGTTGAATAAACCAGAGCAATACTATCGTGGTATAGGCTAGAGTTATTTAATGAACAAAGGGGTTTTTCCCCCAGACTCTTTTCTAGTTTTGCTAGGCTGAAAATGCAACCCTCCAACTGATTTGCTCTTAATCACCGGCTGATCTGATAAGGGGACAAGCAGAAAGGAGTGGGATGAGGAAGACTTCATATAAGGCCTTAGACCCCAACAGTACTGTAGAGGCAAGGGTTGGGAAAATGCTAGGAAGCTGTCAAAAAATAAGGAGGAATAAGGGAAGGTGTGCCTAGAGAACAAAAGAGTTGTATTTTCCATGTTGGCGTAAACTTTCCACTCACATCTTTGGATGCAGAAGGTGCATTTGCTACCTTATCAGCCTGAAAGTTCATCATGATGAGTCTGGGTGGTGTTGAATGATCTATGTCTAAACTGTCTGTTTTTATTTTAATTTTTTGCCAGACATGGAGATGACCTGATAGTTACACCTTTTGCACAGGTATGTTCCAAATATTCTAGCACTCCAGCATTTCAAGTTTGGACATTTGAGTACTCAAAGTGAACTTGCAAAACAGAAGTACTGGGCCTTAAATGGTTCCCAGGCCCTTTTGGTCCCCCCTCAATCAGTGTGCCTTCCCTTTGAACTTGGCAAGTCTTGACAGGCTTTCTTCAACTCCTCTAGGTGCAATCACATTGAAGATTCCTGGGCTTGTCCCCATCCCTCTCTCTCTTGATGAACACTGTCCCCATCCCTCGATTGACTGCTTCTGCTTATTTTATATGTTCAGGTATCATATCCAATGCAGTATTGACTGGATACCTTGACCTTTCCTGACTTTCTCGCCATTGCCTGCTGTTTTAGAAAAATAGGGCCTCCATTTTCTCTCATTTCCCTTCTAAAGACCATGTACCAAGGTGATGTAAGAAAGACAACACTCCACCTGTTCGCTGTGGCAAATGCACTCTCCCTACATTTAAAGGTTAACTTCTCTAGAGGTTGTGACTGCTTAATATTTAGGTGGACCCTTATAGTTGGCATCTCACCTATACTAAGCATATAAGTGTTGAAATCTATTTTGTCCCAAAAGAGAGCTTGGTGGTATAAGCAGTAGTCGTGCAGCTCACTGTGGAAGAGACGGCTGTTCTGCAGATTATCCAGTTACCCATCTGTGTTGCACTATCATGTATGACTTTCATTGGATTACTGCAGCCTAAGGTTGTCATTAACTGCTGAGTTACTGCTGCCATTTATACTGATACAATGGATTTACACAATAGTGAAATAATTTGCACATGCTGCATAATGAATGATAAAAATCCCCATGTATGTTCTCTGTCATGGATATGATCCAGCCAAAGATAAATATATTGAAACCCTACTGGTTTCTCTGGGAGCCAGTTATGTATTTCATTCTCTTCCATTGAAATCAATGACCATCAAAGTGTGTGTGTATGTGTGTGTGTGTGTGTATGTATGTATGTATATGGTCAAAAATTCATTTTAAAATATGCATTATGTCCTTTTGTATTTTATATAGGTCTTGGCAAGTTTGAGAAGTGTAAGAAATAATTTTACATTATTGACAAATCTCCAAGGAGCCTCAAACAAGTAAGCTGCTTCTTTTAAAATAATTGTAGCTGCATCATTCACATTTTAAGACAGGTCTTAATTAGTAGGCTTGTTGTGGTGTAGTGGTAAGAGTGTTGGACTAAGACCTGGGAAATCCAGGTTTAAATCCTCTTGCTATGAAACCCTCTGGTGACCTTGGCCACTCACTTTCAACCTAACTTACCTCATAGGTTCAAGTGGGTAGCTGTGTTGGTCTGAAGCAATAGAACAAAGTTTGAGTCCAGTGGTACCTTTAAGACAAACAAAATTTAATTCTGAGTATCAGCTTTCATGTGCATGCACACTTCTCCAGCAGGTTGTGAGGATAGAATGGGAGAGTACAGAACCATTTATTCTGGGTAGGATAGCACCAGATAGAAACATATTAAATAAATAAGGTCCTCAGTAATCTTTCATCTTCTAGGCATATACATGAACAGAGGGTTGAGACAGAGCGAGGCTTGGTTTTTATACCCCACTTCTCTCTACCGTGTGACAGAGTGAGCTCCTGTCTCTGGCACCAGCTCCTGCCAACCTAACAGTTCAAAAGCAAGAAGTTGCAAGTAGATAAATAGGTACCACTTCAGTGGGAAGGTAACAGCATTCCATGCCGGCAACATGACCATGTCTTTGGACAGCGCTGGCTCCTCGGCTTGGAAACAGAGATGAGCACCACCCCCTAGAGTTGGATTCGACTAGCTTTCGAGCAAGGGGAACCTTTACCTTTACCTTTTCTCTACCGTAAGGAGTCTCAAAGTGGCTTACAATCGCCTACCCTTTCTCTCCATAAAACAGGCACCTTGTGAGGTAGGTGGGGCTGAGAGAGTTCTGAGAGAACTTGACTGGCCCAAGCATGAGGCCCAAGCAGGCCTCATGTGGAGGAGTGGGGAATCAAACCCTGTTCTCCAGATTAGAGTCCACCACTCAACCACTACATCATGCTGGCTCTGAACACAAATGAAGCTACCTTATATTGAATGAGACCACTGGTCCATCAAGGTCAGTAGTTTACTCAGCCTGGCGGCAGCTATCCAAAACATCAGGCAGAGGTCTTTTATATCACTTACTAACTGATCCTTTTAATACTGGGGATGCCGGGGATTCAGCCTGATATTTTTTGCATGCAAAGCAGATATTCTACTATTGAAGCATCACCTGATTTTTGTGATGTTGTTTTCCGGTTGCATTCACATAGCCATTGCTTGCTGTTCCTGTGAAGTGCCTTAGTTATTCAGTATTAATTGCAGATATTCTTCAGATTGTACTATTATGTAAATCTCAATCCCGCTACACCCCTATAATAAGTACTTCATACCATATTATTTATTCCTCCGCAGGAGGTCTCCAGCAGCAACTCAGCCCCCAGTCGCCAGACTGAATCTTCAAGGTACGTGTTCTGTTAAAGCGCAGTATGTTTAAGTGGAAACTCTAAGCTTGTAAAAAATCCAATTGAATCCATTTAAAAATTATTAGAGTCCCTGAATCACAAAGACCAAAGCCAATGTATTTGTAGTATGGAACAAATCTGTAGAACTCAAAACAATCAGAATTGTGGTGCTTAATCTCTTTAAATTGGCTGTTGCAATTTATGACTGGGTAGAAAGAATGGAAAACTGTTATTCTGATATTTCTAACATGGTCATATGAGTAGGTTCTCCAGGTGAAGCACACTTTTTAAACAGCTTTAAATGTGGTAGTTTGTGGTTAAGGAGAGGTGATGATGAAAAGGCAGTGACTAAAGTGGGTACAGAAAAGCCAGTGGCAGATGGCAAGATATATGTGCAACGCTGGCTAGAAGAAGAGAAGAACTTTTGGAAGATAGGAAGAACATGAAGAAAATGATTCATTGATTAAATATGGGAAGACTATAACAGTAAAAATGTACAATTAACTAGAATCGTGAGCAACGGCTTGTACCCAATAAAAGATAATTGGTTCTGTGCAATCTTTTGACACAAGCAGGGTTGATGGGAACTTTTGAGCAACAAATACACAATTTTCCAAATAGTCCACACATTTTCTCTCAAATCTTTTCTACTGCATTCTCCTAGAACTCAAAATGAACTAACTGAAAAATGCTGTTGATCTCTCAGATAACACATGGTTTGGCAATACTGAGATAGACTGGGATGGCTTGACTTTTTTAAGCTTAAATATTTCTTGTTACATTATGAGCTCTGAAAAACTGGCACCACCCTGGGACTACATTTTAATTAACAGAAAAGGTCTGGACTTGCATTGCTGGTCTCCCATTTCTAAAGTATATATTGGTATTTCTAATATGAGAACATATGCATTACTGAACAAGTTCAGCATATGCTACTTGTTCTCACTTGTTCAGAGTTCAGCATATGCTACTTGTGTCTAAAGCCATTGGGGAGGCTGGCCCAGCAGCATTGCTAAGGTGTTTCGGCTTGGGCAGCTTCCCTGATGGATTAAAATTCCCTGACCCTGCTCCTACACCTAACAGATGCCTGCCTGTCTGCTGTTGGAGGGAGTGTGTTTAAAGGCATTGGGGAGGCTGGGCCAGCAGTAGTATTAAGGCAATCCTAAGAACATAAGAACATAAGAGACGCCAATGTTGGATCAGGCCAAAGGCCCATCCAGTCCAACACTCTGTGTCACACAGTGGCCAGAAATAACAGTGCCATCAGGAGGTCCACCAGTGGGGCCAGGACATTAGAAGCCCTCCCACTGTTGACCCCCCCCCCCAAGCACCAAGAAGACAGAGCATCACTTGCCCCAGAGCCCCTAGCTATACCTTGTGGCTAATAGCCACTGATGGACCTCTGCTCCATATGCTTATCTAATTCCCTTTTGAAGCCGTCCATGCTTGTAGCACCCACCACTTCCTGTGGCAGTGAATTCCATGTGTTAATCACTCTTTGGGTGAAGAAGTACTTCCTTTTATCCGTTCTAACCCGAACGCTCTGCAGTTTCATGGAGTGCCCACGAGTTCTTGTATTGTGAGAAAGGGAGAAAAGTACCTCTTTCTTTACCTGTTCTTTCCCATGCATAATCTTATAAACCTCGATCATGTCACCCCTTAGTCGTCTTTTCTCCAAGCTAAAGAGCCCTAAGCACTTTAACCTTTCCTCATAGGGAAAGTGTTCCAACCCTTTTATCATTCGAGTTGCCCTTTTCTGCACTTTTTCCAAAGCTATAATATCCTTTTTAAGGTGTGGTGCCCAGAACTGCACACAGTATTCCAAATGAGGTCTCACCATTGATTTATATAGGGGCATTATTATATTGGCTGATCTGTTTTCAATACCCTTCCTAATAATCCCCAGCATAGCATTGGCCTTCTTTATTGCAGTCACACACTGTCTCGACATTTTCAGTGAGTTATCCACTACAACTCCAAGATCTCTCTCTTGCTCAGTCTCTGCCAGTTCAGACCCCATCAATGTGTATTTATATTTAGGATTTTTGGCTCCAATGTGCATCACCTTGCACTTGGCCACATTGAACCCCATTTGCCATGTTGACGCCCACTCGCCCATCCTTGACAGATCCCCTTGGAGTGCCTCACAATCCTCACTGGTTTTCACCACCCTGAACAACTTTGTATCATCCGCAAATTTAGCCACTTCACTGCTTACTCCCATCTCCAAATCATTAATGAACAAGTTAAAAAGCAGTGGACCAAGTACTGATCCCTGCGGTACCCCACTGCTTACCACCCTCCACTGAGAAAATTGCCCACCTACACTCACTCTCTGTTTTCTATGAACTAGCCAGTTTTTGATCCATAAAAGGACTTGTCCTTCTATCCCATGATTTTTGAGCTTACTTAGGAGCCTTTGATGAGGAACTTTATCAAAAGCTTTCTGGAAGTCAAGGTAAATAATATCTATTGGATCCCCCTTGTCCACATGTTTGTTCACCCCCTCAAAGAACACTAACAGGTTAGTGAGACAAGATCTTCCCTTACAGAAACCGTGCTGAGTCTGCCTCAATAGGTTTTGTTCATCTATGTGCCTACTAATTCTTTCCTTAATAATGGTTTCCACCAATTTACCCGGTATCGACGTCAGACTGACTGGCCTGTAATTTCCCGGATCTCCTCTGGAACCCTTTTTAAAGATGGGAGTGACATTAGCTACCTTCCAATCCTCAGGAATGGAGGCAGATTTTAAGGAAAGATTACATATCTTTGTCAGGAGATCTACAAGTTCACATTTGAGTTCTTTCAGAACTCTCGGATGTATGCCATCTGGGCCTGGTGATTTTTCAGTTTTTAAGTTGTCTATCAGTTTTAGGACCTCCTCTCTCATCACCTCAATCTGACTCAGGTCTTCCAACACCCCTCCTGAAATCAGTGGTTCTGGAGTGGGCAAGCACTTCTCATCTTCCACAGTGAAGACGGAGGCAAAAAATGCATTTAGCTTCTCAGCCATTTCCCTATCATCCTTCAATACTCCTTTTACCCCTTGGTCGTCCAAGGGCCCCACTGCCTCCCTGGCTGGTTTCCTGTTTCTAATGTATTTGAAGAAAGTTTTATTGTTGGTTTTTACGTTTTTTGCTATATGCTCCTCATATTCCCTTTTTGCCTGCCTGACCTCAGACTTGCATTTTATTTGCCATAGCCTGTGTTCCGTTTTATCAGCCTCACTGTGACTAGCTTTCCACTGCTTAAAGGAATTCTTTTTACTTTTTACAGCCTCCATTACTCTGTTTGTTAACCATGCAGGCTTTTTCCTATACCTGTTTGTGCCTTTCCTAACCTGCGGAATATATATTTTTTGAGCTTCTAGGATCGTAGTTTTAAATAGATCCCAAGCTTCCCCAATTGTTTTGACCCTTTCTACTTTTCCTTTCAGTTTCCTCCCCACGTGTCCCCTCATATCAGAGAAATTACCCCTTTTAAAGTTAAAAATGGTTGTGTGAGTCTTTTTGGCCAATTCTCTATTTGTACAAATGATGAACTCAACAACATTATGATCACTGTTTCCAAGCGGTGCAATCACTTTTACATCTCTCACCAGGTCTTGAGTGTTACTTAGGACCAAATCAAGGATCGCCTCTCCCCTGGTAGGTTCCGTGACCATCTGCTCCATAGCACAGTCATTTAGAGTGTCTAGAAACTCAATCTCTTTTTCCCGACTAGAACACATATTGACCCAATCAATGTGTGGGTAGTTAAAATCACCTATTATTACACAGTGTTTTTGTCTAGTTGCTATCTTTAAGGCATTCATCATTTTATAATCCTCCTCTATCTTTTGATCTGGTGGGCGATAACAAACTCCCAGTGTTAAGTTTCCTTTTGGCCCCCCTATTTCAACCCATAGAACTTCCAGAAGCGAATCCAATTCACTTAGCCTCTCAATCTTTCTAGACTTTATACCCTCTCTGACATACAGAGCTACCCCACCTCCAACCCTTCCCCCCCTATCCTTCCGATATAATATATAACCGGGAATCACTGTGTCCCACTGATTTTCCTCATCCCACCAAGTTTCAGAAATACCCACAATGTCTATTTTTCCCTCCGACACCAAGCACTCCAACTCCCCGATTTTACCTCGGACACTTCTAGCATTTGTATAGAAACAGCTGTAATTTCCCTTACAAGTTAAGCCTGCATCCTTCCTCTTGCTATCTCGAGTCGTTGTCCGGCAGTCCATGTCACCAGCCATGGCCTCTGTGGACAATTTCAATCCACCTCCCTGTAGAAAAGCAACCGGTACCCCCTCACCTCTCTCAGATGAGCCAACCCGAACCAGAGACTTTTCATCTCCTGTCGGCTTTCCCCCAATATTCAGTTTAAAAGCTGCTCTGCCACCTTTTTGATTTTAAGTGCCAGCAGCCTGGTTCCTTCTCGGGACAAGTGGAGACCGTCTCGCCTGTACAGCTCCCTCTTGTTCCAAAAAGTATCCCAGTGCCTAACAAACCTGAACCCTTCCCCCCTACACCATCGTCTCATCCACGCATTGAGACTCCTGATCTCTGCCTGTCTCTCCGGCCCTGCGCGTGGAACAGGTAACACTTCTGAGAAGGCTACCTTGGAGGTCCTGGACCTAAGTTTCCTGCCCAGCAGCCTAAATTTCTCCTCCAGGACCTCACGACTGCATTTCCCCACATCGTTGGTGCCGACATGCACCACGACCACTGGCTCCTCCCCAGCACTATCTACCAGCCTATCTAAAACACGCGTAATGTCCGCTACCTTCGCACCAGGCAGGCAAGTCACCATACGGTCAGTACGCGGGTTCGCCACCCAGCTGTCTACCTGCCTAAGGATCGAATCACCCACTACCAAGAGCCCCCCTCCCACCCTGCTCAGGGATGGTTCCTTGGTGCAAAAGGAGAGCCGCTCACCAGCTGGGGAAGAGGTCCCTTCTGAGGGCACATTCCCCTTATCCTCAGCATGGTGCCCTG